TACTTTATGTAAAATCTCAATTGAATATTCAATAAAGATAGAGGCATGGCCTTACTATTAATATTTAAAAAAAAAAAGAATCTCAAAGAGATCTCAAAACTGACATAGTTTACTTAGAAGAGAAAATACATTTAACATCTATTGGGCCATATCATATAAGTATTGTAGACAATCAACTAACTAAAGAAAGATAACCGAAATAGATTTGTTAAAGACTCAATCAAGTTAAACTAAATAAGCTATTACTAACTGTTTAACTAGTATTGTAGGTGTAAAATCTTTTCAATAAAAGAACTAGGTTTATGCTTGAGTTTATTTGGGTTTTGTAATATTCTTATATTTGTTAATTATAGATAGTAGGTTTAGAATTCATATGTAATCTGATTTTGATTGTAATCTATGTAATTGTATTTTATAATCCACTGATGCTGAAATAAACCATGTGATCCCATGACTTCCTCTGATTGGCCAGATTTAGTTATGAGGCCTAACTGCAGCACTGACAGAAAGAAAAAAGAAGTTAGAATATTAGTGAAAGTACTAAAGAAAATACTATAATACATAATAAGAAAGCAAAAGAACACTCATCTAAACCTAGTACTATTTTCTTAAGCCTCATTAACCTTAGTTATTCGAACCACACCTCGATCAAAGCCTACCAAATCAGGGATTTTAGTATTAATTTAGAGGTGTTTAGTTGTATATTGCATTATTTTGTAATATTAGGGTTGAATAACACTTTTACAATGTACATACTTGGCTTTAGACTACCACTATAAATAATAAACAGTACACTGATAATGCTGAAATCAATAACTTATTGAATTGGCCAATCAATCATTCAGTCAATTTGTCACTACAATGTTCCAAAATTTATAAGAACAGCTGTAAATAATTATTAAAAAAAATGTAATTGATAAGTTATTTATTTTGGCATAATCAGTTTAAAAAAAAAAATTAGACATTAGAGGTTTCAGTATTAATGATCCAATGTCCGATTTCAGATAAAATAAATATCATTTTTTACAAAATAAGTCTTATTTTTTAAAGTATATACATATTAATATAATCATTTGCCAGTAAATATTTATAAAAAGAAGTCAGTTTTATAAAGAAAAAGGAATCTTTTAAACTTCTACTTATTTTCAGAATAAGATAATTCTAAAGCCTCCATTATCAAGAATTTGTCAATTAGCTTAAAAGTATAGTTCAAAATATGATTTCTCAAAATCAATGTTTTATAAAATATTTGTTGAAACTGTTTTATGTAAGTTTTTTAATACATCCATATCTTACCTATAGAAAATTTGCAGTGTTTAGCAATTTTTGACCTGTATTTTTTCAATTCTTGGCCAGCAAAGATGATCTAGAAGTATTATATTTCTTTGTAATATTTATATTAATCATCTAATCTTAAATTATACTGATATTATTAATTTATTAAATTATTATGCAGAAATTAAAAACTTGTCAGATTAGTCAAAAATCATGTGGTAAATAATGATAATTTAGTAATTGTCAAAAGTGCTTTGAATTAACTTATTTTGAAAATAAGTGGAAGATTAAAATTTTGGTTAAAAATTAAATAGTCATACCCAGAATTAGCTTTTTTAGTAAATATCAATTTGTAAGTGATTGTGTAAACAAGTATATACTTTTTTTTAAAAAAAGAAAAATTTATAGATCTTCTATTTTGAAGTAAATATATTATTTATTTTATTTAAAATTAGACATCTGGTCCTTAATTCTAAAACCCAATACATATATAATAAAAATAAAAAAATTGAATGAAAAATTAAAAAAAATTTTCTATCTATAACTTTATTTAAAAACATGAAAAACTGGCCAAAGATTTAAAGCTGGTTAAGAAATAAAATTGTACCAGCGTATTCAGGATTAAGACATGTTTGCCTTTTAGTAATAGTAAGACCTGCAGCTAAAAAGAGGCGTTCAGATGACACTGATGTTGCTAGAATAGACAAATACTTGTGAGCAAGTTTTGCAAGTATTGGATATTTAGCTTTTCTTGATGCCTATCAACTAAGTACATCTATTTGACCTGAAACCTTCAGTAGCAACAAATATGAATTAAATTTATTGTCTGCAGTATTATTATCTTGCTAACTTAATTGTTCTTGAAAATGCATTGCCACAGTAGAAAAGATATCTTTATCACTATTTTCATCACCAAATATGGTTGGATCTGTTTGACTCTCTGTATCTGATTTATTGCCTAATTTATTGGAACCTATTTCTTTATATTTCATACGTGCTTCTAAAATAGTCATTTGCTTTTCATCTTTTATAAATATTTTCATGTCTTTAGTTCATGGGTCAAAAAAAACAGCAAGTTGAATTAGCCTAGTTGGTTCTAAAAACTGTCTTTGGAGTGATTTATATAGAAAGATTCCAAAGTTTTGAACATCATTATTACATACTATTGCATTATTAATTTTGCCCTTGATAAAGTTAATAGCATACCATGCTTGTGACAATGTTGGATACTTTGAGTTAGATAAATGTTTTAAAACAACTTCATAAAAATGCAATAATTTAACCAATTCAGTTATCTTATTCCAATCATCAGATGATAGTTCTTTTTCTTTATAAGTTCTTAAAGAACTATTTTCATTGGCTTCTGCTAAAAGAGACTTATATCTATATAGTGCTGGTTTAAGAATAATTAATAGTTTTAATATATAAAATGTAGAGTTTCACCTTGTAGAAACATCCCATATTACATGAAAAAACTTATCTCAATCTTCCATCTTAACTTGAGCTGTCAAAAGGAATTGTTTTTGTTTCAGGCTTTTACTAAAATGTAACACAACATTCCTACATTTTTTTATTAAATCTGTAATTTCAGAACATTTTTTTATCACATCATTTATAGCGAACTGCAAAGTATGACCAAAACAAAAATGTTTTTGTATATTATTTTATTGCTCTAACCTTTCTACATATAATCAAATATTCATACTATTATCAACTACACTACAAACAGTCTTATTAATAAGCTGAAGATTGTTCAAAATTTCAACAATTTTATTTAAAAGATATTTGGTAGTATGAAGATATGAAATATATAAAATATTACCAATCATCTCTTTCATTTGAAAGTCATTATTGATCCAGTGAATTGTTAGTCTAATATATGAATTACTATTATCTGATGTCCACATATCAGTGGTATATGATACATATTAAATTTCACTAACATCAATTGCATATTTCCAAATTTTTTGTAAAATATTATCTCCAGCATTAAGGAGAATTTTTTTTAAACAGTCATTACTAAGCACATTAGCTTGTGTGTTAAGTCCTTCTATTATTCGTTTAAATGCTTGTGATTTAAGTACTGAAAATGGATAAAGATTCTCAACAATAAAAGCAGTGATATGATTATTAAGCTTTTTTTGTTTTGAATTATTGAATATATATTTAGCTATTGTATTATACACTTGCATAATTGTCATTTGTGATGATTCTGCTAATACTTGGAATTCACAAGTTTTACTATTCTTTGGTACAATATTCATACAATTACTTTCTACTATAGCTTTTGATATATGGTGCCTACTTCTTAAGTGTTGTTAAAGGTTTGAGGTAGAATCATCTTTTTAATATTTTATGTCTCGACAGCTTTTATAATAGCAAGCCCAAGTTTTTACACCATTGGTTTCTAGTATTTTATAAAAAGATTTAACCACACTACTACCTGGCCTTTCAATTTTTTTTTTCCTGTACTTTTTTAGTATCGCTTTTTGGCAATGATGTAGAGGATTGGAATGAAATTTCACTAAGATTTAAACTGTCTATATTAATAATTTTTAATATGTCTGGACTAATATCTTGCACTAATACCATACTATCTGAATGTTCTGCATATTCAGTATTATCTGTTGTATTATCCATTTGGATCACTAAGTTATTCTAACATTTATTCCAAATTTTGTAAATAGTAAATCCAATATTAGATAATTAATACAAAGAAAAAGCATATATACTTATAAAGTCTATGGATGGCCCTAAAATATGAGTATGGTTGAGTTATATTAAACCAGACTTAATATACAGTTATTTGATTTTTGTATTGTTTTAAAAATAATATCTAATAAATGTTTATTGTTATTAGAAGTTGGTGACTTAAAAGTATTTAACAATGAAACTTAAGTAAAAGTTCATAATATATGTTCAAGTTTAAAATGGTAGTAAAATTTTAGCATCAGTATTAGGGGTTTTATTTAAAAAAAATATTAATTCCACATAAAATTCAATAAAATAGATGCAGGTGTAACTTTCTATGAACACTTACATTCTACAGATGTATTTAAAAAATTTTATAATTTTACATGAATCTTGATTATAGACATATGTATATACATACAAGTAACAATGATAAGAATTTTATTGCTTTAAAAAATTTCATGAGCCCACATAATCTTTACCTTTCTGTGAACACTTATAGCCTACAAGCATAAAAGTTATTATACAAATCTCATTAAAATATAATGTGTCCTACCCTGCACATCAGAGTCATAACCAACTATTTCTTGTTACATCCTTTATGCATAATAATAAGTTAAATTGGAATTTCAAAAATACATTCTCATGTGTAAAAGCTGCATTCAACCTTTTACTTAAAGATTTTATTGATTATTGTATGCTCACTTTGGTTACTAACAAACTCATCTTTCTGCAGGCCTTTTTTCTAACTAATACACACACAATTGTAAAGTGGCTCTTTAAGTATCAGTTTTGCATAAGAAAAATCAGAAGTAGAAGTTTGATTTTGTGAATCTAACTTCTTATTTATTCACTTTTACATATGTATTATTATATCATAATAGACTCTAAATTCTATTATAGATCTATTATAATAGGCACAATAGACTCTAATGCTAAATTCTATTGTAGATCTACCATAATAGGTACAATAAACTTTAAACTCTAACATAAACTTTTATTATTGCATTGATTACATCACTCATGCTAATTATGATTGGTTCTGCACTTTCTATCTAGCACTATGTATACAAATAAGTGTCATCAAGAGAAAATATACCATTAGGCTTTTAACTATATTTTGTACTAGACAAAATCAGTTTAATTTGTTAGGGATTGTGTCTAGTACAAAATATAATTGAAAGACCAATGACAGTTTTTCCTGGCAGCACTTAATTAAAAATGGTGGCTTTTCACTAATTATTGCTCAAGCCTTCTATATTTAATAAAAGTGTAAAAAAAAAATCCAATACATTTAATAATCTACTAACAAAAAAATACAATCGATAGAGACCTTTTACTAATAATCGCTCAAGCCTTTCATTAGGATTATAATTTGCCTACAAGAATTTAGTATGTTCTCAAAAATCTTCCTGACTAGTTTATGTCAATTTTATTATTATTAAATGTTATTAATACATTAGTGTATCAATATAACAAAGATTTATAATAAATAATAAACTATTTATTTTATTAATATTTGATTAGTTAAAAGTAATTTTCACTAATTAAAATTTAATTATTGACATATCTTTGGCCTATTGATTAAGATACTCTTGATTTATAGAGATGTTAAATGTTAAAACTTTATCAATCCTGCAATTAGTCCTTTTCTTATACCAATCCTGTGCAAACTTGGTATTATTTATTTCACTTTAGGCAATTTGTAATGAGATTTTGGGTTTTGCCTATTTGATCTGTTGAGCCAGGTTATAACTTGAGTTGACTTTTAACCTAAATTACTTTAATTTAGTTACAATTTTCTAACCTGAGTAACAACTCTATTGGTATTGAATAAATTTGCAACATCTTCTATTTTCTGGGAATTAACCCTGTTTTAATGCATATTTTTATCAACTTTCTAAAGATTTTTTTGGTTTGATTGCTAGTCATCTTAATTAGCATATAAGTAATTTCTAACATACCTAAACTGTATTATTTTTAAGTTCTAATAACATTTTTAGCCATTTTTCTTCTGTGATATCCTAATTTAGCTGTTCATATCAAATTTCATCAATTTCTTCTTTTGGTTGATATATATTCTTTCACTTGTTTCTAATCTTATAATTTTGAAAGTTTTATATTTTGAATTGTTGTTGGAAATGTTTTTTGGTCTTTTTAAGCATCTCTTGTGGATTTGTTATCAGCTTTCTATTCAAGTCCTCTAGCTTAACAAGTCTGTTTATTCTTATTTTATTTAATAGTTTGTCTAATAGACTCATTAATATTCTTCCTTGCTTGTCATTGATCATTTAACATCTTCTTTTAATGTTTTGCTCTATTTCTTTTAGTCTTTGTTTTTCTAACTTTTGCTTTTTTTTTATACAGAACTTCTACTAGCCACATATATCAAAGATTATTTTTTCTGTTCATATCTCTATAATTATTTCTATGCTGGTTTTATATTGCTCATTTATATATTTTGCTATAATATTAAAATCTTTTATATTTTCAAAAATCAAACCTAGTTTGACATTTTTCTTTTCTAAGCTGATCCATCTTTCTAGCTGTAATAATGCTTTAGTTAGCTTAGATTTCTTTGCTTTATTGTTTTTTTTATTTTTAGTAGTATTTAGAACTTTTTTCTTTAGTAATGTTTTTTTTTTCTTTTTTTTTTTTTTTTTTTGGAGTTAAGGTGAGGTTTTGCTCATATCTTTATTAATTTGTTAAAGATGCCTCCAGGG